CGAAAATTTTAAGTTAATCAGGCAAATATTTTCGGTGATATGAGCGTACGTACAATTTTTTTAATATAGTTTAATTGTTTTTGTTCGAAACGCTGTTTTCAGAGGGGTTAAGGAAAATTTCTTCGAAACAATTACGTCGTTGGTATTTTCAGACGACGATCTTAGATGTATTAATTAGAAAGAATATGATTTTTGATAATAATTGTAATTTTTTAATCACTCTGAATTGTACATGTTTTCAAAAAGCGACTGTTTTCGAAAGCTACTATATTTTAAAAAATCGAAACTGTATTCTTCTATAACATTAAACATGTTTTTTGGTTTTTGAATTTGAGATAATTTTTCGCAGAAATGTCTCCTTCACCCCTGACACGTTTTTTGGAAGGACTTCCTGGAGATCGACTAGAATCGCCGGCTTTGTTTTATACTATTTTTGCGAATCGATATTTATAGGCTCTTGAATCAGAGTACGATTTGGTACTTACAGTAATACATTGTTAGTAAAACCCATTCATTTTCGTTAATATTCCTTTTTTTTAGCTATTTTTGTACTAAACTAATGATAAGAATACTAATTGTTGCAAATATCTTCTTCAGTTGGATTTCTGTTCCTTAACTGGAAATAATTTATCGAAAGTAATTTCTTATTTAAAGTGATGGTTCAGCCTAATGCCACCATGAATGCGCATATCGATGGCAATGTTTTACCAAGCCGGCATAAGAACAGAGTAAAATTGTACGATTTTACAATTTTTCGCTTCTAATTTTTGCTACTATAAATGTGTATATGTATATACTGACTCTGTATAAAAAAAAAATATATATATATATATACTCATATATCGTTGCTACTGATAATGAACACATATGTACTATATATGCACATGGCTGTTCGTATCAACTCGTAAATAAACCCAAATACTGAATATCTATATTTATAAAAATGTGAAAGAACAATTTGGACTATTACTTTACTGTCTTAAATATTTGCTGATAATTTCTAATATTTTTGATATTTTAGTAGTATTTACTAAAGGCACATGTCTATGTACTGCCTTTATATTTTAGAATCAACTTGCACTGTACTTCTCCAATCCGATTTTCGATCCAAATTTTCACAATAGAATGTACTTTGTTAGCTTTGCTGTCTTTTCTAGCACGAAGCGTTGTTGTTGTATAAGTGGAAAATATTTCCAAAATACACTAAAAGGTCGGGGGTTATTATCTAATTTGCCTGTAAATCGGGAAATATTATTTCCAAAATAATCCCTGTTGTCGATTCAAAATCTTATTAGAATGACTTGGTTCGCAAAATGACGTTATTTGTGTGTAAAAATTTTAATTTGATGGTCTAGCTTCATGGTGTTAGGTGTAGTACACGTTAGCTTTAAGCATTTTTAGCCTATAATTATATCAGAGAGATGCATGTTTAGTGTTCGAAATTCTTTTTAAAGACCTATATATTGCAAACGTTTATGTGGATTATAAATACGTGCATGGTAATTCACTTGTTTACTTTTACTTCCTTTTTGAAGTACCAATATAAGTAGTATTGATTGTTGAATTGTTAATCATTGTTCAAAGGTTAAAACGGTTTAGATAAGCGATTTCAGTTATAGATTTTTTATACAAATAATTATCGCTATCACCTAAGGAAAAAGTGCTACGTTCATAATAAATACGTAAATCTAAAGCGATAGATGCATTTACATATAAAAAATCCTGGTGCATTCCAGTTACGGAGACCCGTGGGAGCGAACAACCTTTTTTAGATTCGTGTGCAGTTTGATACATATTCATTGGTGTGTGCTTAATAGCATGGGAAATTTTAAGAAAATAATGCGTGAAAAACTACAAAGAGACAGTAGAGGATCTCAACGTCTCTTGTGGGTATTCGCACTATCATCGCATCATTACTGGTGACGAGGCTTAATGAATATGACGTCGAAATTACCCAAAAATCTGACGAATGGCGCACCAAAAATTTGCCGAAATTGGAAGAACAAATTTTCGCACTGAAGTCCATTCCAGCCGACGTTTATAACAAGTGTATAGAACGTATGGACATGTAGTGTATGCCATTCGTCGTAAGCTCGCATTGGCGAGTGAAATCAGAGTGACCCTTGCGAAACTTCATTCTGGATAAATCAATTGATTGATGCGATGTGTGGAAAGTGGCACCGTCTTGTTGAACCAAATGTCGCTGAAATCACGAGCTTCAATTTAAGGCATCAAATAGTCGGTTATCATGGCACAATAACGGTCGCCATTGACGGTTACGTTCTTATCATTTTTGAAGAAATATGGGTCGGTGAAACCATCGTTGTTTTTTATGAATGAAATTGCCGCTCTTGAGTCTCTTCAGGTTTGCTAGTTTACATACCAATTGAGTCAAAAATGAGCCTCATCGCTGAAAAAAATTTGGCTCGAAAAGATCGGATCTTCTTAGAACTTTTCAAGAGCCCATAGAGCGAAGCGGTGCCGCTTGGGAAGGTCCAGCGGCTTCAGATCTTGCAAAAACTGTTTTTTATACGCTTTCAATTTAAGAACTCGACGTAAATTACGCCAAGTCATTCCATACGTCAGTCCGAGTTGCTGGGAACGGCGCCAAATCGACTCTCCGTGGTCTTGGTGTACACTCGGCTGCTATATTTTCTTCACTGCGTGCTGGACGTGGATTATTCGGTCGCATATTATTCACGAATGAATACTGGGACTCAAGTTGGATAATGGTGTTGCGTGTAGTAAGCCCAGTAGGCCGATTATATAACTTATTATATAAGTTGAGCGAAACGCGCGAAACATATTCCTCACAGAACTTGAATTTTCGTAGTAATTTGAACGGTTTGTAAAAATTGTTCAGGTGTAAGTCTCTCCATGATGAAATACCAAATAATACTGAACAAAAACAGCATGCCTACAAAAGTTTATTGAAAAAGTTCCTCTACTTGGATCACCCTTTAGTAAAATTATAAAAAAACGGCTTTAAAAAGTTTCTTCTCTACTCTACTATTACAATACTTAAACATATATGTATGTATGTATGTATATAGTTTTCGGTAAACAAAGAGCACCTCTTATCACCCACTTCTTCTTTTTTCATTTCACTTGTCATTTGTGCGTCATGGATTTAATCTTTGTGCTAATTAGCCGTGCGAAATCAGCAAATCCTCACACACTAACGAACGCATTCTACATTTAATCTGGCATTATACCCTGACCTTCACAGCTGTGTAACGGTTTAAAATAATTCATATGACAATTTGCTTGAGCAGTTCATTGAATAGAATAATGCAGATGTTAACTTTTTATTAGTTTTTATACTCTCGCAAAAAAGTTGCTATAGGGTTATATATACCAAAGTGATCAGGGTGACGAGTAAAGTTTAAATCCGGATGTCTGTCTGTCCGTCCGTCCGTCCGTGCAAGCTGTAACTTGAGTAAAAATTGAGATATCATGATGAAACTTGGTACACGTATTTCTTGGCTCCATAAGAAGGTTAAGTTCGAAGTTGGGCAAAATCGGCCCACTGCCCAAGGATCGCATTAGGGAGGGGCATATTTGGACGTAATTTTTTTGGAAAAGTGGGCGTGGCCCCGCCCCTACTAACTTTTTTGTACATATCTCGAAAACTACTATAGCTATGTCAACCAAACTGTATAGAGTCGTTTCTATTAGGCATTTCCATAAACAGTTCAAAAATGGAAGAAATCGGATAATAACCACGCCCACCTCCCATACAAAGGTTATGTTGAAAATCACTAAAAGTGCGTTAACCAACTAACAAAAAACGTCAGAAACACTAAATTTTACCGAAGAAATGTCAGAAGGAAGCTGCATCCAGGCTTTTTTTAAAAATTGAAAATGGGCGTGGCGTCGCCCACTTATGGACCAAAAACCATATCTCAGGAAGTACCCTGATGACATGTACCAAATATGGGTGAAATCGGTTCACAACCACGCCTGAAATCTCGATTATCACTTTATCATACGAGAGTATAAAATGTTCGGTGACACCCGAACTTAGCCCTTCCTTACTTGTTATTTGATAAGAACACTATTGCCACTAATATGAGTTACTTATTAGACTAATTCGATGCACAAAGCGCTGGTTCTAACGGTTCAGCGCGTTTTAAGAATTGATAATAACTGTATCCGGTAAGACGTATTGTCTTTAAATGGATGACTAGTTTTGAACAAATGAAAACTGAATGAATTTGCCAATAAAAAATAATACTAACATATGGAAAGCTCACGTCCCTAAGGCGATTACGTTTCTACAAAAAATGTTAACTGTAATTCGTGTTCGATTTTAAAATTAATACAGTCCTGTGGAATGGTTAAGTATTCGTTTCCTAAAATGATGCAATCAGAAAAGCAGAATACACATTTTCACTCCTACGAAGATTTATCGGAAGAGATACCTTGTTCCCTGTTGATTGCAATAAGAATCCTGTGCTTTTATATGCATGTAGAAAGAGAACGGTACTATGGGCCGACAACTCTTAGTTTCTGCACCACGATAATACACCGTCGCATTCTTCGTCATTTTTCGCCGTGTTTCGTGGCTATTCAGTCAACTTAAACGACCGCTCCGAGGAAACTCTTTTAAATCAATTGAAGACATTAAACGTGAATCGCTACGCCCATTCCGGAAATTGACCTTAACAACTGTTTTAAGGTTTCATAAAAACGTTGGCACAAGTGTATTAGGGACAAGGGGGATTACTTTGAGGGGGGCGACATAGATTTTGAAGAATAAATTAAGCATTTTGAAATTATGAACAAAGTCTTACTATTTTTTGCTCATGTATCATGTCCTCACAAACATTATTGATATGTTGTCGGCAACACAAATGAAGCTCAACAAATGACAGCAAGTGCCTGCTGCTAATTAAATTGTGTACGAAATTAGTTGTTCATCTGTTTCCATTATGATTATGTCGCCTCATGAAGTCCAAAAAATTGCTCATTTATTAATTGTCTGTATGTATTTTCAGTTTGCAATGAGCCGTCTTCTCGAGAAGCCCAACATAGCGATGTCCATTAAGTCGTCATCAGGTAGTCAATTGTCCTCAAGTGCTGCAGCCGCCGGTAATGCTACCGCATTAAGTGTTAGCGCCAGTGAAGTAGCAGTGCAAAGTCCAACGGAAACGATCACAAGTCCCAGCGCAGTCATCAGTTCGAGTACAAGTAATAATGGTGAGAAAGACGAAGTTTATTGCAAATTTCATATTTTCTAACTTACTTAACACTACTGCAGGATCTCACACAATTTTCGATGAAGTCTTCATAAGTTTGGTGTCCGGTTCAGCGGCTGGAGCTTTAGCGAAAACCACTATTGCCCCTCTAGATCGCACAAAAATCAATTTTCAAATAAGGTGCGTTTCGCTTTTGATTCGCAAAATTTAATTTTTCTCCTAAATGTTTTGTTTAAATACTTTTTACAGTAAAAATGTTCCCTACTCATTTAAAGCGGCGATCGCTTTTCTTAGGAATACCTACGAAAAAGAGGGTATTTTGGCGTTATGGCGCGGCAATTCGGCGACCATGGCGCGTATTGTGCCTTATGCAGCCATACAATTCACAGCGCACGAGCAGTGGCGAAAGATTCTGCAAGTCGATAAAGATGGTAGCGAGTAAGTATCAAAATACATATAATACATGTGAATAACTATCGTTATAATGTCGTATTGAAATGAAAAAACGAATTTTCATTACAAAATCCTAAATGTTTACTAATTTATATTATAATACAACAATACAATTTTTTTCACCAAATTTAGCACGAAAGGCAGACGTTTCATAGCCGGTTCATTGGCTGGCATAACCTCACAGTCTCTGACTTATCCGTTGGATTTGGCACGCGCCCGAATGGCCGTAACGGACAAGTACACCGGTTACAGGTATGTTAACGGCATATAAAGACCATTATTTTAGTTTGTACTGACATTTCAGTTTACTTACAGAACGCTGCGTCAAGTTTTTGTTAAAATTTGGGTCGAAGAAGGACCGCGCACACTCTATCGTGGCTATTTCGCGACCGTTTTGGGCGTGATACCTTACGCCGGTGTTTCCTTCTTTACCTATGGCACACTCAAACGTGAATATTATGGTAAGTTAACAGAAATTGCTATTACTTTTTCGTATATATGCGTGGTATGCCTCTTTTTTTTCTAAAATCCCAACCACTCTACTTGGGTGTGCTGAGTGAGTGACACTCGTAAAATTAAGGAGTTTAATCACAATAATTACAATGGTTTCAAAACTTTACAGAATTGTGATGCAATTGATATTTTTTGAATTGACACAGTTTTTTTTTAACAAAGCATTACACCTATGGGGTATAAAGTCTTTGAGATCGTGGCAAGGTTGAAATTGTACCTCTTCCGAACCTCTTTTACTACCTATCACAAACTCTATGATTGTTTTAGCGGCTTTATATACTATGTTTAGGCGCAAGTTAACTGTCATTAAGATCATCTAACGAGTGGCCCGGGGCCAAGGCATAAAGAGGGGGTGTTGGAGTTTAACCTGTTACAGTATCCAAAAAAAAGTTGTGCAAGTGTCGCTCTAGATTCGCAAGACAAATCGAGATCTTCGCATGCAATGTGTGGCGATTTAACTCCTGCGCCTATCTGAAGTTAGTTGCGTCCGTAGTTTGGTCGAACTCTCGAATCGGTTGGTTTTCGTATAGCAACACATCTTTAATATCGGTCCTCTATATGATCATGGATTACAAATATTGGGTACAACAAGGAAAATATGTCTTATCAATGCAAACTTATAATTATCAGACTGTAGTTAGATGGTCGTGATGATTACACCTAATTTTCTACCACCAAAATCAAGCTTTGTTCTTGTTTTTATTTTAATAAACAAAAATATATATTTTTTATCCATTTGCAGAGGTGACAGGAAATTCGAAACCGAATACTCTAGTCTCGCTTGCATTTGGCGCTGTAGCCGGTGCGGCAGGTCAAACATCCAGCTACCCACTGGACATAGTGCGTCGGCGTATGCAAACAATGCGCATCAATAAAGGTGCCAACAATCAATATCGCACTATATACTCGACCTTGAAGAAAATTTATAAGTGAGTATATAACTGTAAAGCCGATAACTAGTAGGCGCACTCTTTACTAAAACCTATACCGTTTACGTGTTATTAATTGCAGGGAGGAAGGTATTAAAAATGGCTTCTACAAAGGGTTGAGCATGAACTGGATCAAGGGACCGATCGCGGTTGGCATCAGCTTTTCTGCCTACGATTTGATTAAGGAGTTGCTTAGGGAATTATTCCACTTGAAACGTGGCCGATACGATGCGTAAATGATGAAATTGTTATTGTTTATATTTTAATGATATTTATATGTATTGTTATGTTAAATTTTCTTACTTTTTACTTGGAAGAAATACTAAACGGTATACTAAGGGACGAAAATTATTGAAAGTGAATATAAAAAAATATAAATCAAGCATTACTGCTATATATATATATTACCGATAAACTGAGTAAACGAGCAACGTTCAATTATTTTATCTAAAGGTTTACAATGCGCACGCGTATATTTACATACATACATACATATATGTATGTGGGTTTGAATATAATCAGTGCAATTATCCATCTATGCCATCTATATGTATTATGATATGAATATGTAACGGTAATCGTTTTAGCTTCGAATTTTGGCGAGTGAAGTTTTGTTCCTTTTTATATGTGTTAATATATACAATAAATAAAACTAAAATACGAGTAATTTAATGTTTAAAAATATAGTAAGCACAATGCGACAATAAATCTTAACTGATTTTTTCATATACATACCTACATAATTATCTACAAATTACATACAATCCTTTAACTACGGATTGTACCGTATTGCATACATACATGTCTGGATATAATGTATAGTTAAGAGAAACGTTTTCAGCTGTTTGAAATTATTTTCAAAACCTTTGTAATATAGTGTAGTGTTTTTGATTTATATTAATGCGTACATATACATACATATAAGATAAAAGCTAATTATGTTGTACAAATAACAAATAACATTCAATTGCTTATATATACTCCTTGCCGTTTAGTTGTACAACCAGAATTTACTCGTGTAAATGCATAGTGGGCGGATTGTTAAATTTCGTAGGTCTTTTGGTGGATTTTCTATTGCCGAAAATATTGAAGATATTTAAAATAAATAGAAAACTGAAATGAAAATGTCGCATTTTTTATTGTTAAACTGTTAAATAATATTAAGCGCGAAGCTGTCATGATGGGTAGGTAGGAGTGCCTCCACCATAGGCCATTTTGTTGCACTGTTGTAGTRGTAGTCGCCATGCTTTTTCGTTTCATCGTTGCGTTCTAACCATTTGGTGCTCCCAATGAAACTGCTTACATATATCCAGTTTGTGAACAACCATTCAAGGTAAGATGCCTGATGGATTCCTAGTTTTTGTATCGGGTTTGTGATAGAGCTGGTCATTCACAGAGAAAGTGGAAAGCCTTTCGTGCCTCGTTATAGTGTGTGTAAGTCTGTAATGTTGTTATTGATTTCCATCAGCTTAGCTGTTTGTATAAAATGCATATAAAGCTCTAATTTCATCGTCCCCAGCGGGCGTGATTTTAACTCGGCCTCGGATTCGTCTAAACAGTTATATAACTTTGTCAACTCGTCTGCTTTTCAGTTGCCGAAAATTTTCTTATAACCGTTAAACCAATTTATGGGTAAGTCGAGTTGACTTGCCAGTGAGCTTAAAGCTTTTCTACAATCGTTAACTATACTGGAATTAATCTTTGGCGTCAACAAGACCCGCAGTGCAGTCTAGCTATCCGTATATAGGTTGCATTCGGTGTCCTCCTGTGGTTATTCAATAGAATTATACAGGCCTTCTCTATACCTAATACATCCGCTTGGAAGATATTGGTTGAACGAGATAGACGGATAGAAACATAGATGTCAACAGTCCATTTTGGACACGTCGATATAGGTAGATGTAGTATCTTCCGCCCCTAGTAATTAGGATGTTGAAACAGGAAATAATATGAAAATAGCGTCGTCCTGAGCCAGCTTAGTTAGTTAATCAGACTATATCTTAACAAGGTTAGGTTTCAATAGTTACTTGTGTTAATGTTAATTTTCCAATTCAGTTTGATATCGATTTTAACCCTAATTACAATGGTGATTTGTTTACTGTCAAAAAACGTTCAAAATTTTGAGAAAAATTCTTTCTTTTTTCAATTTTGAATTTCTAATTTTTTTTTTTACCATAGGTAATGTATGGTATCTGATAGTAGAGATTTTTTTATTTTAAGTTTCATGCACGGATTAGGCTGTAATCACTGCAGTCATGGGAGATCGCATGTAATTTAATTTTTTCTAAATTTTATATATTGTTAAATATGTATAAACTTTATCTTTCTTATCACGATAAAACAAAATGTTTTTAAAGAACATATTCCGTGCACCTATACGTATGTATGCGTGTACATACAAACATTGACTTCCGTTCCGTTGCGGTTTCGCTTATCAGCCGCTTAATGATGAACTACACGCGACCCTATATATTATTTACTATTATGACAGCAATAAAATAAACTTTTTGGATTTTGATTAAAACATTTTAATGTGTTTCATGCAAAACTGTTTCTTAAATAACGCGAAGGCTTTGTTTAATAACAAGTTTTTTACTCAAATAAGAGAGAGTGGCCACACCGCATATTTAATTCACAATAGAGAAATGTTTTCAAGTTGCATATTGTTAATGGATTGTTGTGCTAACTTTCTATTTTATCTATAGTGACGGTTGGTTTATCTATTAAGGCTAATAGAATTCAAGATGGAGTTCTATGGAAAGTAGTACAGAAACTCTGGAACGAGAATCTATTAAAAAATTTAATATATAAAGTTTACTCCTGTCAATTCGTTTAATAGTTTTGAATTCTGTAAAAACCAACTTTCATTGGAATCCAAAGAATCTATTTCTCAAAATCTTACCAAGTTAACTCAAGTGATCGCTTGCACAGATAGGCGGAAACTGAACGAATGTAAAGATCGACATCCGGCAATCAATTATTATTGTCGTAATTATTACTTTGACAACCGTATATAAATCCCGATATACTTTGGATGTCAGATGAATAATTTTATTACACTCTTGTGTAACATGTTGTGGGAATATAATTTGAGGGTTGTTTTTTTATCCTTTTTAAAGGATAAGACCAACTTAGGATTAGGGAAAAAATCGCAAAAAAGTGATATTTGTGAGAACTTAATATGTGGGTTGTGGGTGCCCTGTTTAAAGGCTAAGAGCAATCTAGGATTAAGTGAAATAGCAACAAGAATTATATCGTAGTACAATATAAGAACATAAAATAATTTTTCAATTGATAGAATAATGAAATAATATAATTTGTACAATTCGGATGTAGTGTCGAAGCGCTTGTGTGAGTCAGTTAAACTAAAAGTTGATAATCGTTTTTTACTCAACATCATTTTTAAATCGTGCGACGGTGGAACTCGGACACTTTCGCAGGCACCCACTTGAAATTTTAACTGTAGCTTCACAGCTACATTACCAATTAAACTATATACGATATTTTTGTTAAAGGTGTAATTTTTGTTTTTTTTTTTGTAAAAAGTTTCCTACTAATTTGTTCAACTAAAAATGGATACGTGATTTTTACAGATTCGCCATTTAGCGTAAATTTGATATAAAGTTTAAAACACGTACGTCCTTTACTAGCAAATTTCGGGTACCGTTTTTTTTATTTCCGATAGCACAAGTTGCTGGAATCACCGTGACATGTTGTAAGAGATTGTCAGAGTAGCCATCACTGCTGTCATAGAATCAGCGTCACCCATCCAAAGTGATTCTGAAAATTGGCAGAGTGGTCATAATTTTTTTTGAAAATTTCTATATTTTTTACAGATACAAATACTTGCTCAATAATTGCGAGAAGATTCCTTGTTCTTTACTCCCAGTTATATGTTCTTGTCAAAGTTAGTCCATATTTTAACGATATATGTATGTATGTATGTATGTATGTATGTATGTAGGTGGCTTAAGGAGTTATACACAGTTAAAAGGACGAAAAAACGATTTTTCCAGAAATTTTTTAACTGTATTTAAAGATATTTGTGTTTAGTTTGGAAAGGAAGTACAGCTGATCTCTGGGTGCTCCTCTTAAAACAGACGTTTTGCGGCGACAACTATAACTCTGAACTTTATTCTTTGAAATTAAAAAAACCAAACAAATTTAGTTAAAGTAATGTTAAATCTTAAATTAATCGAAGGAATGAGCAAAATAGAATTATTTGATAAAATTGTGGTTTCTCAAAAAAAACAAAACCGATTTATGACCAAAATTTCGATCTCAAATTGTTTATAAGAAAATATTTATCTGCGAGAAAAATTTTTGGACTTATTACTAAAAAATATATTTAAGAAGATCGGGTTAAAATTTGATACTAATCGGCTTGGCCGTTTTGGAGTAATGTTGGTTACCGACTTTGAAAACACCATTTTGAGACAAACGTGTTTAAAGTTTTAAATGTACTTCCAAGCACTCTCAAACGTCTTTTTAAATTTTAATAAAATAATATTGAAAAAAATATAGTTTTTGAAAATTTTAACTGTATATCGTATAACGCCACAATCTTTTGATAGAAAAACGTACTCCATATTTAAATAAATGCGCATATTTTTCTGTTGAGTGTGGCATTACATTTCAATACTACCCTGGGATATTCTTACTGCTAGTCGAAAGTGCTTAGCATTCTACTATTATTTATTTAGAGCCGGCAGTGGCCATCGCACAGTGATTATCGGACGTTCATTCAGTGAATAAAGAGCGCTAATTTAGCGCGCATTACTTAAAAAAAATATATATATATTCTTATAGATCTTTTTATGTGCTAGCTAATCACAACTACTTAGTAAACAATCTTAATAGTGTTAAAATAAAATTAAACTTGCTCATAATAGTTATTAGTAGTATTACAAAGTGAGTTGACTACTGTGGGGTATTTTATATATGAACGTATGAATGTAAATAATTGCAATGCAGTTTATGCATATAGTATAGTCAAAACTTGAATTGTAGAAGTTCAATTTTGTGGTATGCGTATACATGCATATAAATGAATTGATTATTATTTGCCACAAATGCCTGTAATCATGAGATTCATACGATGTTTCCCCGCTCATTCTTATCGCTTAAAAAAATAAGTGCACAATTAAATTATACATGGATGTGTTATTAATAATCCAAAAATTGTGAAAACAAAATCAAATTATTTTTTAGACATATATGTATGTATGTATATGTATGTATGTACATGTTTAAAAGCTATTAAAATGTACATACATATATGCATTAATTAAAGTTGTTTTATAATAGATTGAATGTAATCGGCAGCGACTTTAAGCAATGTTGCGTACATAAATACATATAATACATACATACATATGTACATATCGCCGCTTAAAATGCAAAACAATGTATCTTGGAAAAAAATCGTGGAAATCGTTTTCAGATATGATAACCATTTTATAACCAAAATTTTGTTTCAATATGAGTGTTTGATAACCAATATATGTACTATGCATAACCAAAACTCAAACTTCTTTCAATATGAAAAAATAATAATTAGAAAATGCTGTCAGATATAATAATCAATATATAACCATTTTATAACCAAAACTCAGGTGTTGTTTTCATATATGTACATACAAAAGTGTTATATAACCAATATATAACAAATTTATATCCAAAACTTAAATTTTATTTCAATAGGAATGGTTTCTATTATATTATCGCTCGTAAACTTATGAAAAGTGATGTTACGTTGTTTTACAATTTAGGTGACGATATATTGTTCAAATGTACCTACATGTATGTAAATATGTATATAATATTAAAATGAATAACAGTGTATAATCGAAATATAATGTGATTTTTAATAATTTTTAAATCATATCATACACATACATATGTACATATAATAATTATTGCTTAGCTTCAACGGCTATCAAAGTCCCAATCGCAAATATGAATGCAAGTAATATTACTTAAATATCCTATATATTTAGGCGTGGGCATGGTTGTTATAAACATTAACCATACGTAGACATATCTAACTGAATAAATAAATATAAGAAAGAGGATTGCACCACGAATTTGTGTATTTTGTGCCCAAGAGTCTCACTGGATGCAAAACTAACAAATATTTATAAACATTTCATATTCTTATCGTGTGGTGTGCATGATGTGTGTGTGTGTCTGTGCTCACCAGCAATACCTACATATGTATGACGAGTCGCTTTCCTGTGAAATTCGCAAGAAATCTACAGCAACAGTCACACATATGTACATACATATATTTTTAATGCTTGTCTGGAATATTTTTATGATGTGTATTTTTGTTGTTTAAGAATATTTTTTGGCTCTTTAAAAGTAGTCTCGCATAACGTTATGTTAATTTATCAATCAATATTCTAAAATAATTAATGGATATTTAAATAAGGAGTGCATAATTAAAATAATAAAAAATTCAACAGGCTATATTAAGTTTGTCCTAAAGTTTGTAATATCCGGAAGAAAACGTTGGTGGTTCTATATGAAATATATGTAATGTAGGCAACACCTTATGTGATGCTGGCAAGCAGCAACCAACTTCACATCTCAAGGAGTAGCGAGAGTTGGCAAATACAGTTGGCAAAAGACAGTTAGCGAAGAAGTTGGCAAACGCAGCTGATCATATATTTTTCAATTCATTCATTCATTGTCCAATTAATTTGAACTTAATTATAAACAACATTTTTTAATAAATATAATATTAACTTTTTACATACACGTATGTATGTACATAAATGCGCAACCTGACGAGTTTAGTCAATTTAGCCATATTCGTCTGTTTGTCCGTATATACGCGAACTAGTCTTTCAGTCTTTTGAGATCTCGATCTGATGATTTGCACACGTTCTTTTCCCTCTACCTCACCGATATCAGAACACTACAGGGTTTGTCAGGAAAGCAATTGGCTTGAATAAAACACAAATTATTAAACTAATCGTTACAATACTTTAAAAAATTTAAAATTAGGCTCCGTCTACCTTTCATCGACCTTTTCAGGCAACGAAACAAAAAAGTCCTGGGGGCCACATCTGGGTTGTAGGGCAGCTGCGGGAGCATTGGAAAGTTGGCCTTGTTTAGGTAGCTGTTCACAAGAAAGGCGGTGTGAGCCGGGACGTTGTCGTGGTGCAACTTCCAATCGGATGCAATGTCTTGTCGGACCCGATTGCATCTTCGTCTGTTGTCTTTAGTCTGTTGAGGACTTCCACGTAAAACTTGGCGACGTCAAGGGGGACGATATCAAAAAAGACAATGAGCATCGTTTTCACTTTGAATATGCTTATTCATCAGCGACCTCTTCCCGGCTATCCAAAAAGGCCTGAGGCCATCGAAACACACCACTGGGTAAGCCTGCTTGATCATATAAAACGTCTCTGTCGCAGATTTACCGAATTTCACACAGAATTTAAACGCGTTCTTCTGCTCTATCGAATACTGCGCTTTCGGCTTGCAGCACTCACAGAAACATGTCGCGTTATAATGTTTGTCCTAACTCTCCACGTGCTCGGAGACAACTGACTAGCCGCTCGTTCGTTAGCTAGGAACGCCCTCTACCGAATCCAGTCGGTGCGCACACGCTCAGAAGCACAATCACGGCGGAAGAAAATCTGTCCTATTACTTTGCGGATAAACCCTATATAACATATAGTATCCATACAAACTGAACGATCAAAAGAAAGTTCTTGTCCAAGGCAATCCTATACTCTCCTGGCAAATTCTTAAGATCGGGCCACTTTAGCTGATATACTAACTGTGCAGAAAACATTTTTTTATTTTAAAAGATATCTTCATGACATTTGGCAAGGATTATGAGCCCAGGCAACATTACAATTTCCGAAGAAAGTGTTCAGGTTGGATCATCGAACTATGTATATCATGTAGCGTTCGTGTAAACTAAACGATCAAAATCAAATTCTTACATACTATGAAGAACATAGCATATGGAGAACTCATTCATTTAACAAGATATTCTAACGAAATTTGGAATTTCGATTTTGCAATTAAATTCGATGAAATAAATTACAATTCAAGAAATTTAAATTTGATTTCTGTTTGTACAATAAATTTCATAAGTTGAAAATATTTGTTTCGGCCGATATGCATCAATAAAGCATCAATCAGACAAAAAAAAAAAGGTTAACCCCACCACTAAGAACTTGATTATCGCGACAATTATTAATATTCGCATACATATTACATACATACACATGAAATTTTTTATTTGCTAATGTTAATAATCTTTGACATTTATTCAAAGAATTCAATGCGAACGAAGCTGCAGGAAAAGTTAATTTCTATAAAAATGAGCAGACATGGATTATTATTATTATGCTATCAGTAAATATTTGACTACCCAGACTTCCTTAGTTGACATACAACCATAACAGAATCGAGTCGAGCTTTACGGCCCATTTTATTTATTGATTTGAAGCTCTACATTTGGTTGCTTAAAATTGTGTTTCTTTTCCTCGTTTTTAATCGTAAAAAGTTGTTGCTTTCTTACTATATTACAATGGCGGTTCAATAGTTATTTAACCTCACCATCCGGGCCGATTCGATGCAAAGAGTAATTTACTATCGTATGGATCGTATGGTACATTCTGAATTCTACTGATTTCGTGCGGACACAGGAATGACCGCTGAGCAGTTTGTTCCACAATTATTGTTCTTAGTTTGTGATTTAGTTTTGCTGCCTTACCTCGATGTACGTAACGTTTGTGATTATAAAACACAAAAAAAAAAAAAAAAACGAAAAAAAAAATTGAAAACTAATAAATAATCTTTTGTTTGCTTTTTACAATTAAACGCCGAAGCTTAGCTTGAACCTGACCGATCCCTTGAATGGGAACAGCATTCAAGACAGAATAAAGAGATAGCGCAAATATTGTATTTAACACTAAAAATCTTTGAAGTCATTCAAGAAACCACAAATATCCCTAAAACAAAAACGTTATTTTTTTTTTTGCTGCAAAACAGTATTCAGGAAAAAAATATAGGTTTATGCTATTTTTGCTATCAAACATCTTTGTGAAGCGTAAAAAATAAGTATCTCGACACATTTATACCTAAAAAGTATATATCACATTCATATACATACTTCAAATGCAATAGAATAGAAATTTCCGAATTTTACGAGCTCAATTGTTTACATAATGTTTACAGCTTTAAATTCGGAGGTTACCGAGCTCTTGTTTGTAAATGCTAGGGCTAAACTTCTAAAAAGCCACCAGGACGTAAATATGAGTATGCCACCTGGAAATGGTGTGATGTTGCCGCCATTGGCGGACGATGATTTAATGCCGTTATATGCAAGTTTACGAAGTTTATCCGATGGCACCGCACAAATGCGCACAACACTTTTGGCATTTCAAAACGATCAAATCATCGCCAACGATTTTTTTAATGGCTACCAAAGCGGCTTGGAACCACTGCATATTCCCTCAACAGACACATTATCGTTAACAGAGCGCAAAAATGGTTTAATTATGAATGTGGGTATTCTACTTAGAGAATATGGTGTCATTCAGGACCAGCTGATCGTTGCATTGAAAGTGTGGCAACGAAAGCAGGCCTTTGCTGGCAATGGTGCACCGTTCCCAACCTATTTAGATGGTATACAATATGTTGTGGAGTCCTTAATGGATCGCATGGCAGACATTACATTATTTATAAGTAATCTGCTGCATTTTGGAGATGACCCAACACTTAATGAGTTCTTGACACATGCACAGACCTTACATAACATACTCATCTTTTCAACATTCATCGTCGAAAAGCAACCGCCACAAGTGAAGAAAAAGGGTTCCAAGTAAGTAAATGTTGTTAAACAATAAATAAAAATTTTATTAAAGTCCCATAAACTTTCAGACTTCAAGCAACTGTGCGCTGGTTGATCGGTGATAAATTGGGCATTAATTTGAGCAAACCAGTTGTAAAATGTGAAATACTCTCAGGTAAAATTGTAATGTGTGTTTTTTACATGGAGTTAATATCGGGTTTCTTTAATCATATCTTATATACAATAACTACATATTTTAACGTAGTGGGATAGCTTTTATCGTAGATCTTACAAAATAATAAATATTCTTATAAAATATGAAGAGTTCACCATACTTTTGGCTAGATGAAGGATACATTTCACCTTATTTCTTTCTTCTTTAGCCATTTCGACATAATTATTATATTTACAATTTCTAAATATTTAGTTTGGCTGAGCCCAAGATAGAAAATCATGACTGCGATGATTTTGATAATAGAATATAATTCTTCCCATTCTCTATCCATTTTAATTCGATATCATCAGTTCTATTTATGACTACTGAAAACATACATACTTATCTAGGAATACATATTATAGATTCAAAAATTCAACGTCAGAAACGGTCCGTTCTATCAAACTTCCAAACTACACAATGTACTTTTCCTTGTAAACAATATACTTTTCTGTCAAAGTAAATTCAGAAAAAGTAACCAAATAAAACTGTCGTAATTTCGTTTACAATAATTTTGCATTCAGTATACAATTTAAATATTATATGTACGTACGAACTTGAAGTAATGAATTTCTTATTTCACAATATTTTTAGAGGCTCTAGCAAAACGACTTACAATTGAGAATATTCATATGCCACCAGAGTGCAATGGCAAAATGACAGGAAATGAGTGCCAAATGGAATTCGATGCCAGTAATAGGAGTTTTTCAGCAAATTTTTCGTACGAACACAATACAGAATATTAATTTTCTAAGTTAAATTATTATGTGTTTATTACAGAAATCTTGTAATCCACGACAACAAACGCTCCGTGAAGAAGGGTTCCGAAATTGTTGCAGACGGCAAATACGCTTTGCTCTTTTACACAACCGCGATATATAAGGGATATGCGATAAATGTAAGTTTGCCAAAGTGAATGTATGTACAATTAATACCTAAGTAATAAGCATGGGAGTGTTTAAAGCATTTTCATTTAAGAAAAAAATGTATTTGAAATGATGCATTTTCGTAATTATTAAAACTTCACGAATATGTTACGAGTGTTTACGCAAGTACCCTAGGATCAAGGAGGGTCGTAAGAGAGTTAGTCTCAAGTGACAACACAATCGTTTAAAATGTGAAGGAAATTGACCATGAGAGAGGTAGGCGAGGTTCCAATGATTTCTAAGCAGCGACATACACACTTTGCTCGCTTGCTTTATTTATTTAATTATTTGCACAATTTAACACCAAAAAATACATTATTACTTGGGAAAAGTATCGCGTTAAGAGCTTGACAATTTTTCTACTTGACCCAAAAACAGGCTATTTCGAGCAGAATAGTAAAGCTAAAGCGAATATCATTTTTGTTTTCACTCAAATTTTACAAAACTGTGTATGATTTTCATTAGCAAAAGTTACCTTTGTAATTGCATCTTCATTTTATATTTAGTGTTGGGCACTCAGTCTACCCATAGTTGTTGTGGTACACGATAATCAGGCATCAAAGGGCTGGGCCACAATTACCTGGGATAATGCGTTCTCCGAAATTGAACGTGAACCATTTAAAGTGCCAGAGCGAGTACATTATATTAAACTGTTGGAGACATTAAATTTGCGATTCGCCTACTATACAGGTCGTCAATTGACTGCAGAAAATTTGGAAGTTCTTCGTAAGTTGAAACAATCGAATTATACATAATTTCTTAAAATGAAACCTCATTTGAATTGGCAGACAAAAAACTTGTAGGTGAAGCTGTTCAGCCTAACGAGTATATAAGTTATTCACAATTCTGCAAAGATAAGTTGCCTGACTGTGGCATTACATTTTGGGATTGGTTCTATGGCATAATGAAATTGACAAAGGCGCATTTCAGGCAAATATGGCAGGAGGGACATATTGTCGGATTTATAAGTAAGCTTAGAACCAAGGAAATATTGTCGCAACAACCCATGGGGACTTTCCTACTTCGCTTCTCGGATAGTCAAAAAGGTAATAATGCTTGCATATAAATCCAGACATACAGGCATACATACATACACACATATATGTATATTGAATGCGTAATTTGAACTCATAAATTTTAGGTGGAATAACTATTGCCTATCGCGACTACTGTGGGAACATAATATTTTTGGCGCCGTGGACTTGCGTACATTTTCAAATACGCTCCCTGGCTAATAGTATAGGAGATTTGGATGTTTTAAAGGTTGTATATCCCACCATGATGCCCAGCAATGTTGCTTTCTCTAATTCACCCACAAAGCACAATGGTAATTATGCGGATTCTGAATACTATATAGATATGATTATGCAAAACTTTTATCTAAAAAAAAACTCAATAAAATAAAATAAAAAAATACGCAATTTATCCAACTTACGACGCGAGAGAAGTTATAGTCGCAATAGGTACAATTCTTATACATTTCTCCATCATTTACCACAGTTCTGGCTTCTTCTGGGCAGGCTGTCTGAACCAATTTCTTACTATTATTTATTTTTTTCAATAAGAAAAAATATTTTATATTAAAAAATATATAATGTATATATACATAGATTGAATTTAAATTTTTTTCATAGTTTCAGCAACTAAAGCAAAATCTGAAGAAGGTGGTTATGTAGACTCTATAATAAAAGTGCAAATTGAGCCCGCCTCTTCTAATGACCAGCAAACGTAAATGCCTTATATAAATACGAAAAGTACATAAACTAATTCTTTAATCTTACCCTAGTTCGCCACAACTTCCTGAAGCTACTGTTGCAGACAATACCAGCATGCAGAATATGCACAGTTTCCCAATCGAACAACTTGGTAAAATATTTCTTTATTAAAAATTATATATAAAATGTATATTGAAATATATACTGTTAAACTATTACAGAAAATGAATTGAATATCTTCAATCACCAAACGTGAGTTGATTATACAATTTTCCATCATCTAACTAAGATTGCATGTGTTTTGATAACCACATTTGAATAAGATCCCGAATACATTCCCATACAGGAAAAATTTATGTATCAATATAAAAAAATGAACATATTTTTACTTTTTAATTTAACTATATGCAAATACTTTTATGTGTTACTGTCAATAGTTTCAATCGCATTGAATGGCAGGACTGGGATACCGCATATTCAACAGCATCGACAGATGACTTTTCCTTAAGCGAAATTATGTCCCCTGGATCATCAATGATTGGAGTTTGAACTCCATATAAGGATCTTCATATAACTATATATATGTATATACAGGTACACAGATATTATCAAATAGATAGATATTAGAAATTGTTAACAGTTTTTCATGAGTAAATTTGCAAAATACTATTTATGAAAAATACTTGTTGTTAGCTTTAAATCTTATACATATAATAAGTTTCTATATATTTTATAACGTAAATACTTGTACATTTTATAATTTTTTTATCACTACCGTATATGTTTAAAAAACATATCGATTATACTTGTGTACTAGCCAGTTTTGTAATTATTTTCTTTTTTTTTATTAGTGCTTATTAACATATATATTTTTGTACTATATATATTATTAATAAAAAGTGCAATCAATTATATTAACTCGCTTATTTAATCCATCATTTAATGATTATACATAATCTGATATTTAGGAAGAATCTTTTACATTCTAAGTGTGAAATTAAAAACAAAAGTTTTCAGTTACATCCTTCTAAAGTGTCGGTAGGTAGGTCAAAGAGCTTTTAGTTTATCTCAAAACTATATTTTTCAAATCTGCTTGAATAATTTCTCAGCTCGTTCAGCTCTACATGTTCTGTGTATAATGACCTACCAAAGGCGAAAACGATGAAAATTTTGGATAAAACACATCTTTTTTTAACCTCAAGTCATTGCTTGGACAATATCTTCTAAGAATTTTGTTTTAGGTTACGAAGAAGACCGGAATCACTGTTGTAGTGGAGAACCTTTTGTTTTGTGCTGTCGCGCGTAACTCATAAAATGTTAAATTGTTTTCAAATATACCTTAACTCAAAAGTACAATCCTTATTTTCAAATTCAACGTAATAAAGTATTAAAAGATTTTAACGCTTTACCTGTACAACTGATGTAATTTAGTGTAAATGGCGAAGAAGCTTTTTTCAAACTGGAAACTATCTTACAATCTGAAGAAACATTCACTTTGTATTTATTAGTGTGTAGATATGCAGCTTTTATTTACATATAGATAGACACTCGAATACATAAACAGTTATAGACTTAAAAAATTCAAAATTCACTATTTTCACTCATTACCACGAGCATCGGAAGCATACGTTTGACGTATGAAATGGCGGCGGAAACTTGACAAAGCGTTTGGACTGTGTTACCAGTATTTTGAAAAATTTAATAAGTAGTTCCCATTTTCTATCTGCATACATTTCTTTCTAATAGATTGTTAATCATTGATGTTGGTTATCAAATGCTTAATTCTAATGTAGCGAAAGAATTAATAACTTTAGAACAAATATTTTTTTAATATACCCAAAAAACTTTCCATAGAAAATATTATTGTATTTAAACTAATAAATCCTGAGTAAACTGTTATCATAATTCAATTCATCTGACAGTACTAGTTTCCGCCGCTTCTTCAAATGCCATGTGAAAAATTGAAAATTTGTAATTTCAACATTTAATACCAACAAAACAAAAACAAAACTTTACAAATTATTGAAACTTATACATACAGATGTGTATACAAATATCATTTATACAATTAATCAATTTTATGTGCTTGGACGTATTTATATTAACCTCTGAAGTAATTATTTTTAATTGCCGATATATTTTCCGAAAGACAACTTCGTCTATTGCAAAGTCATGGCGCGTCTGTACATATGTATGTATGTATATTATAAATGGCGAAGTTTCATTTTGCTATTTAAATTATTTATAATAATTAACAAAGAGTAACTAATTAAAATGACAACAGTATTCTTGGAAATAAATTATTATTATATTTTCGAAAATCCTTTGATTCGATATGACATGGGATAATTTCGACATTCAAGGCGAATAATTCGATATTGAGTATAAATTCGCAAAATAAAAAAATGAAGACTATTTGGATATGTAAGTTTACTGAGTAAAAAAAACGACTCTGTGTTGGATGAATTTTGCTTTTTGATATTATATGTTATAAAATATATGTACATAATTTTGATTCTTTGATATATTTTTGCTGTTCTTCTTCTCTACGAGTTAACACACAAACTCTGAGGCGTTAACTTTTGTTGAGTTAAAACTAACTTCAAGTCAAACTTTTTTACAAAAAAAAAACTCTATTAAGACTTTGAAATTTCCAAAAGATATAATGATTTAATGTCTCCGGTTTTCTTAAAAGCAATGTGCCAGTCATTTTCAACCAAAACCAAGGCTGTTAAAACAAAAAGGAAGTAACTAAACTAAATCATTTTTTGATTTAATAATTTTTTCTGTTTGAATGTAATTTCAATCTAATATAAATATTAGAAAAAACGGCTAAGTTGTTTGAAAACTGAAATTATAAATTGTTGCTACTCCAACAAGAACACTAAAATAAATACATTCAAAATTGGTCTATAAATAAACATATATATGTATATAAACCCCTTATATGCATATAAACTTAAGCAAACTTAAATAAATATCAAAAAATATTTATGGTTTGATTGCATGTTTGTGTGTATGCCTGTCTTCTATATATTTGATGGTAATATTTGCGCTCTAACCTTTTTCCTGTGAAATCAATAATCAATTATTATTATTTTTTCGTTTAGCGCCATTGCTCGTTTCACATTCGTTCGTTTCCAATATTTTCATTTCATTGCGAAATTTATTTTTCAATACCCGGTTTGCCCACAATTCTTGTCTATCATTTCCATTCATTTATTACGGTTGATTTTCTTTTGCTGTTATTTTCTCGCTGTGTGAGACTCGTTCTCTAACTTATTATTAATAGACATAGACATATTAATGTTATTCGCTAATTTATGCATTATACAAATGCACAGCGTACATGTGGTGCTTAGTGCAAGTTTTGTGTTATGGTGGGCGGTGAACAGTCTAGAGAATTGTACTCCAAGCGCAATTAATTCATAAACATGCATGTCTGTATATGCACACTAAGACGTTTTACTGTGAAATGTCGAATAGAAACCAAGAAGTCCCCACCTTCGTTCAATAAATTCAAATGTCGACGGGTCCAAAGGATATGCAGCTAGAAAGATTTATTAACTAATACTGTAATTGGATAAAAGATAAGGTGTGGACCAAAAGGGTTTTACATTTCATATGTTGCAAATACAATGTAACATATTTCGATGTACTATGAAAATATTAGAAAACTGTTCATATATCAGAATCGCCGCTATCCGACCACTATAGCATATAGCTGCCATGGTGATCGGTCAAAATCAAGTCCTTGTATAGAAGAGATTGATATGGTTGTTATCCAAGGCAGCAGCGCTATTATCTTCGAATATTTATTCAGATCAGACCACTGTAGCGTGTAGCTGCCAAACTGACGGAGCAAAATTAAGATCTAAGAGAAGAATATCTTTTAATTGCCTTCCATGCTATAAGAAATGAACCAGTGAAGGGTATTTTTGTTTCGGTATTGTTAAAGTAAATGTTTTTTATGGCTTTAACTAACAAAGTGTTATACTAATACTCTTAACATAGTTTCTTTTAATTACCATATGGACTCGTTTTATGTAAATAAGTCTCATAAAAACTGTAGGAATACAATTAATATTTATTATAATTTGACTTTCGTTTTTTTAAATTGAACATTTGTTCATATTGCTCGTAAGAAATGAAGTATTTATTGAATTTATTGTAAATGAACGCTAAAAATCTGAGTATTTTCGGAGGAATTTTTATGAATGCTATTTTTATATTATATTTTAAAAATATGGAACGTGGCAACATTCTGTCACACGTCCATTCACAATAAACTAGTGTAAAAGATATCGATTGGGTTTGCAAATATTTTCGTTGGCTCGCAAATTAATTTATTAAATTTAATTCAAGTGCATCATACTTTCAACAGTTTCTAAGAAACATATTATAAACCGGTAATGAGTGTTATTTGAAAGGGTTTTCATGTAGTGCATAAGTCTGAAATTACATTGCTTGGACGTTGATCAACGTGTTGCGCTTTTCTTTTTTATGCTACAAAAATCCTTGAAAAAGCTTTTGCCGAAGGCAAGAGCACATAGAATCATAAGCGCATCCAATCATACATAAAGGAATTGTAAGATAAGAAGCCACTGATAAAACAACCAACAAAACGAGTTGCAGTGAAAAGTGTAGGTGAGTTGACTGTCGATATGTATTAGAGTTGCCATTTCGGTTAAATTTAGTAAGACGTAATAAAACGATTTTAAAATCATAAATTTACATTTTATTTGCGTTCTAAATATAAAAATCTACACATTCTTGAGTGTTTTCATAAATTTAAAAAATATTCCTCACAAGATGTGCCATTGAATGCAGTAAATTAGGGAGCACAACTAGAGTCGAATTCAATTTTCAAGTATTCTATCACAACTGAATAGCTAAATTCGTGAGAAATTTTCAATAATTTAAAATGGTTATTATGACGGCGGTATTTTAAGAGAATTAATGAATATTAAGTTTATTGCAGCCTATGTCATGGTTTTCAATTTTCATCAACAAGTAGTTCGTGTGAAAGCAAGTTCTTTATCGTCTAATTTGTTATGGACAAATTTATAATCTGGAAACTACCATATTGATATGGCCACATTACTCTACATCGAAATACAACCGTGTGCATAAAAATAACTACATATGACGCCGATAGCAGAGCAGAACGAAAAAAGACTTCGGCTATTTCATGTGTCGTGAATTTTGTTCTTGAGTTAACTTTTATTAGTGAATTTTAATGCAACTTTGTTTTATGGTAAAGAATTTGAGTGCATAGAAATCAAAATATTTAAAAATACTCATAAATCGAAAACATCGAAATTTAAGTGGCAAATTGTTACGCGAATACATATTTAGAAGATTTTATAGTTGAAAAGGTTAGTGCGAAGAAATGAAGTGAAAAAGTATGTTTTAAAAATAAACCAGGTGTTGTTGTACCTACATGTATATGTATATATACACACTATTTTTTATGAAAGGTTAGGACAGAGAACGTCTGAAAAAGAAGGTGGGCATTGGAGACCGTTTGTGTTGATATACAATGGTGTACATATTTATAAATATTTTACCCGATATGGCCTCGTCGGAGAGGCCTGATGCAACAGAACCGTGAGCTGAATGCAAGGACAAATAAGTAGCTTTGTTTTTATACCTTTGTAAATTATCATTGGCATGTGAACTGTTACTGGTAAAAAAAGTACATACTTATAATAAAAAGGCTACGAAACAAATTGAAGAAAAACTTGGCTAACACTTATCAATATCAATTTTTATTCAAAAAGCTACCTTATTCTGCTATCGTGTATAGACATTTGTGTTAATTTAAATGGTTTAAGTTCGTTATCAATATGCAGAACTATGAATCTCCAAATTGACAGAATGTGTATTATAATATGCGATATTTTATTGCGTAACTAAAACAATAAATATAATACTAGTTAATTTTCACATATATTAATTCCTATATCTCATCCACTATAATTTTTTTTTGTAATCTCTATGTTCAGCAATTACAACTAGTTGACTAGTTAAATCGTCTGAATTGTTTTCCGCAGCCGACGTACATATGCATATAATATTTCACACATACATATAACGTACTACGTTGTAATTTGTCGGGTTTTTCATGACGTTTCATTTATTATTCACTGGCGGTGTTGTTATAGTTGGTATTATTTGTGGGAGTTTTTCCCTAAAAAATATTTCTTGTTGCATGCATAAATATATTTAAATCAAAATGTATCGCTTTAGATAATTTGTTTACAATTTCTTAACCTCTCGATCATCAGTCACAGGCATATCTATAAAAATAATATTGTTACAAACAATTTTATTGTTGACTTTATTACAAGTATTACAACTTCTCCGTGGGTTTAGGAGTTTTTTCGGTTGATGGGGATAATTGTGTTGCAATATATGTGTATTCATATATTTTACAGACAATTTTCTGCCTTATGCAGTTTTAATTTCCAGTCATGATTTTTAGCTCCAAGAACTTGCTCCACTCAAACACAGTCAAACAAAAATCTCACTACTTGCTTGAAATGTGGGTGGGAGCGAGGTGCTGTTTATAACATAGTCGATTAAATTTGTATTAATTATATGGTTGGCAATGTCGTTACACCCGTTTGCTTTTATACTATAGTATATATGTATGTATATCGTATGTATGTATTTTTGTACATATGTAATGAAGCCGTCTTTCCAATTCGCTTACTGCTGTATGGCGCGAATACCTAAAACGAACGCGGCCTGCATGAACGTTCACTCCATTGCGTTATTTAATTTACATATTTTGCACATTAACACAATTTCTTGCCGCGCAGTTTCGTAGTTAGATAGTTTAGGATTGCTGTTATTGGCGCTTAATTACAGAACTAGTTTTTTGTTAGCAATTTGTTTCTGCGAAACAAATGAGAATTAATTTAACATTTATTCGAATTCATAAACAAAAAAATTTTAAACAAATGTTTTGTACACTTAAATGCATACTACATACAATAGTAAGTTTTTATTTATTAATAATACATTAGTTATCCGTCCGGATTTTATGCGGCATTCATAAGTCGAGAGGAGAAGAACTAATTTACTTTATGATATCCTATCACTTAGTACTTATAGTCGTTATATTAAAATAGAAGCATCAAGAATGTTTGTAAATACTAAACTTTTATATTTTACTAAAGTAGCAGTAATCTTAAATAAGATAGTATTTAATTTATAAGTTTAAAGGTACTTCCAAATATCTACTCGATACCATAAAAATCGAATTCAGTCAGAAAGACATCCCTAAAATAGTTTGAAGGAATGCAGGCAGATAAAAATCAAGACTGTTCCGGTTATGTAGACCCGACTGCCGTAGGAACGATTTTAAATCCTGCGCTCTTTTATCAATCGGTTTATTTGATAAGACCATAATCATCGTTTCGACGAATCTGTGCTAAAACTAATTTCTAATTAAACATATTCTTACTATATATAAAATATTTATATACTTCCATGCAAAATATACTGATCAATAAATTTGTTTGTGTAAATAGGAGTTATAGGGTTATCAAAAACATCGGATTCCAATAAAATTTCCGCTTTTGGGATTTTCTGTAATGCGTCAGCATAAACTATTGATTAGCGTTTAGTTAACAAACATATGTACATGCATAGGTACTTTATGTGTTATAGAATACACTTACTCGTATATATAGTTGCATTCATATAAATAAAAATATAGTTAGCTATTATTTATAATTTTTAACACTGCCGAGATTCTCTGAATTTTTCATTTTAATTGGTTTGTTTTAAGCAAAACTTTCTTATTATAATTTGTTTGCCATTACAAAAGAAAAATTGTTCTAATAACAGCTTATGGTATTTGTTTTTTTTTTTTTTTTGATAATTGAGAAGGAATGCAAGGATTGTTTTTCAATACTGTGGAATATTTCTGCAACAGGTGCAATTGCTGTACCTACAAAATTTTCTAGTCATATCAGCTATCCACCAACTAAACAAATAAACATTGAAGTGAATAGATAAAAAAGGCAAAGTAAATAAAACCGTAATAGTTGTATAAATGCAAGTATACGTTTACATTAAAAGTAACAATACAATTAAATCTGCTAATAAAAGTAAGACAGTAGTCTTTTTCTAACCCACATACTTAAATTTAAGTATGTATGTACATTAGGGTGCTTGAAAAAAAATTTTGATTTTTTTTTCAACTCTTACCCCGTCAAATGTTAGTGATTGACAAAGAAAAAATCCTCCCTTAAGCCAGGCGCTGTAGCTTAACTAAGGCGTCGCTATTTTTTTTTTAAGGTTCCCATACATTTAATATACAAATTTTCCTTTTATCATTACAACTAAAATTTCACCAACTAATTGTCGTTTTTCAAAAATAACCATCACATATTCATAAAGTTGGCTTTTCAAACTTTAAAACTTTCGGCGACAAAGTTTGACTATCTCAATTAGACGATTAAACATAGTGGTTTTAAAATTTTTCAATAAAAATAAAAAAAGTTGCTGAAAATAATAATTTTTTAAAGCAAAAACGCGGAAGGGGGATATTTGACAACCTAAT